CTTCATAAGCAAAAACAATTGGGGTAAAATCATCATTATAGATTGTTCTCTGATTATACCTAGAGGTGGAAATCTTCCTTGAGCAAAGGAGTCAAGAGAGAAGTGCTGGAGATTTCTTTATTAGCTGAAAACATCACTAATACTTGGTGGTTGTTTGTGCAAACACTGGTACTGATGTAAAAGCTGATGGGGGACAGGCAGAGTAGTGATTTCACCCACATGAAGGAGAATTTGATCACTCCAAAGTCATTCACGCCTTGAGGTAGTATTTGAACCTTTGCATTGTATTTCTGCCACTTAGCTGGTAGCCAAAGAGGCTGAGCAAGACATGGTCAAAGCAGGTCAGGGGTGAAGAGGGACTCTCTGTGACCATCCAAACCAGTGGGTAAAAAAACACTGCAAAAAGAAAATCCTTAGTTCAGATGATAAACACTGCCAAGTAAATGAAAGTGGATCAGGCAGAATTAAGAGGTAAATGGAGCAAATGCGTAGAGGACATCACGTAAGGGAATAAGCAGAAACATAGCTGAATATCTCATTCCCTGAAGCACATATTTACTGTGGATAAACTCCTTGCATTGCAGTGTATGGTGAACATAAAAATCAGGAGGGAGTGTGTCTTTCTCCTCAAATGTACTGCTGTCCCATATTTACATACAGTGAAGAGCCCACAGCAGGGTGAAACAGGACTAAGTCCTGCTAACCAGGCTATGGGAGAGTTTCTAGCAAGAAACACGGGGAGAAGTGGGAGGGACTGGTGCGCATTTGCCTTTGCAGCAGTGCTTGCTGCATGGGGAAAGCAGCCCATGACTTCTGCATTCCTTTTTCGGGTGTCTCCATGGGAGCTGGAGCTTGCTTGGACAGGGAGAAGAAGAGGTGAAAGCCCCTGTCCCCTGTGCTTTTAGTTTGGGTGTATCTTACCAGTCTTTTCATTGAATTGGAATTAATAACTGAAAAATACCAAGAGCATTTATTGCACTGTCTTGCCCAAATGAAGAAACACTGAGATGCTGGAGCACATCCTGAGAAGGGCAGTGGAGCTGGTGAAGGATTTGGAGCACAAGTCCTATGAGGAGCAGCTGAGGGAGCTGGGGGTGTTTAGCCTGGAGAAAAGGAAGCTCAGGGGGGACCTTCTTGCTCTCCACAGCTACCCAAAAGGAAGTAGTAGCAAAGTGGAGGTCAGTCTCTTTTCCCAAATAACAAGTGATAGAATGAGAGGAAGCATCCTTAAATTGTGTTGGGGGAGATTTATATTGGGCATTAGGAAAAATTTCTTGACTAAAAGGGTGATCAAGCACTGGAACAGGCTGCTCAGGGAAGTGGTAGAGTCACCATACCCTGGAAGTGTTAAGAACAAGTAGATGTGTCACTTAGGGAAATGGTTTAATGGTGGACTTGGCAGTGCTGGACTGTATCTTAGAGGTCTTGTCCAACCTTAATGATTCTATGAAAGCCAGCTAAGTCTAAAACAGCTAAGTCCTGCTGTCCTTCAGCTGCATTCCCAGTGATGGACCACTTCTCTGGGTGGTCTCCCTGCCTTGATTTACCCCTCCTGGCCTCTTGTTCTGCTCAGAGTGACTGTGTGTGGGGTCATGCGAGGAAGTGGAGCAGAGCAACAACACAAATTAAATAAAACCCTGCAAAAATGATTCCCCGGGAGTCAGTTGGGAACAGCCCATGGAGGCAGTTGGGTTGTGAGCTGCATAAACTGCCTCTGGGAAAAACAGCTACAAAACCAAATTTTCTGCCCTGCTACCAGCCTCAGACTCTACTCCTGCTTCATCTCATGATAGGGCATGTCTCTGTGCTGTAGCCAGCCCTGTTTATGACTTAAATTAATGTGGTGAGGGGTGGCTGAGGCATGGACTGGCATCCTATCCCCTGCCCTCACTACAGTGTCTTGTCTCTGCCAGAGGGTGGGAAAGGCAACTACATCCTAAACACTTTAAACCACCACCGGGATGTGAGGCAGAGCGCTGTGCCTGTGAACACAAGAAGAGAGAAGATGGTGGGAGGGAAAAACCCACACTAAAAAAACCCAAGGAAAAACCCCCCAAAAACAAATAGCAAAGTTGTGCAAGTTGTGCTCCACATATTATAATTTTTTTTAAGCATATAATTCAATGTGCTGTATTGCTGAGATGCACATTCCCGAGCGGGGCAGAGGTTGAGACACATCTTGTCTGGGGACAGGGAGGGTAGCATGAGCAGAGTCAGCAGCAAAGGTCACTTGGCTGAGAGGCTCGGGTGCAGGAGGAGAGGATTGCATAATGTAACTGATGCAATGTTTGTGTCCAGCACTGACATCGTGTTGGGGTAGCATGTGTGCACTTAGAGGGAGAAACACCAGTTTGGGTAATAGGGTGGTGGTGGTCAACTTCACCTGCCCAAATCACTTCTCGCTCTTTCTTGCTGCTTCCTTTGCTTTCTCTCTTCCCATGTCCCCATTTCTTATATCTCTTCCGTTCTGACATTTAATCTCATCCTTGCATGGTTTGTTTTATGGTCTTGGTTCGCTTTTCAGTTCCCGTTTGGGGTCATTATCACATATGATTAGTCCTAGAGCCTAATGAAGGGGATCAGACGTAACTCTAGGGTATTTCTGAGTCATTTAGCATTTCTGAGCTCAAAGATCTGCAGAGGAAGTTTATTTTTAAGCTTCCTAAGAAGATAAATTTAAATTTTGGATTGTTTAGGGTACAAGTAATCGAAGTGAGATCTTTCTGTGGGGAGCATACCCTCTGGGGTATGAAGAATCCCAGGAATAATTATGCAGTGCTGAGTGAGTATCGTTAGTCTTGAAATAGCTTTTAGTGGATGATCACATTTTTCTTCATGTTTGCTAGTGTGAAAGCTTGAAACCTTATATTAATATTTTAACCTTCATTGTGAGAGCACTGTCAACATGTTTTTAATACTGCTGTTTTTATTCAGTCCCACTCTGGGAAAGCCAATCATGGAGATATGAAGCAATTATACAAAATAAGAGCCCCAGAAAATAAAAAGGGCACTTTTGAGGTTGTTCTTTAAGGTCCCACTCTTTCACTGTGCTAAGAGATACTAAGGAGCTGCAAGGTCTTGCATGTTAGAGCATCCTCAGGACGCCTCTAGCAGCTGTTGTTTGGTGGCACTTTGCTGGCCCAGGCGAAGTGACATGTCTGTGTAGTGACTCAGTGTGTTCCTGCTAACCATCTGCTGATGTGATGCAGCTCATTAGTCACTAATTGGCATGGTTACCCTTTTTTTAGGCTGTTGGAATGTCAAGGGCCACACAGATGTGAAAGCAGCTGAATCAGTCTTCCACCTCTTTTGCCTCCAGGTCCGTTGTCCATCAGACTCCTGGTGGTGCTTGGGGAGCTGTTGCCATGCACTCTGCCAGGAAGATCCAGACTGGCTCAGTTCTATCTTGTGTTCTCTGGCTGTTTGACTATAAGCCTATCACAACTGTTTGGTGGGACCAGGGTATGTAGCTGGAGCCTTCTGGTGTGTGGCAATGAACCCTCCAGAGGAAGGACCTTTGGAGACAGTGGGAGAGGACACTCTGACTTTGGGCTGAGCATGAAAAGCTGTTTTCACCCAGGCTGCATTTGCTCCCTTCGTCAGCTCTGTAAAGATCCTCTAAGCAATCTGTGGCTTTACTGAGGATAGTACTTTCATAATACATTTTTTTCCCCATTCCCCACCTACCTGCTTTATCCTTCTCCTGTACTTACCATCTTTGGCTTTATCTCCTCATTCATTACCTCATCTATAGGTACTGGTGTGTTAGGTACTGATGCTTAGGTTTTGTTCTATCTGGTATCTGAACTGATGGCTTGTAAATCTATCTCTTCACTCAAGTCTTTTATGTCATTACCCCAGACCAGTCTTGAGGACAAGTCTTTGCCACATTATGATACCTGGATCCTCCTGAACATAACGGAGTTCGGACACTGCCCTTCTGCTCCCTTGTCTCTGGGTTTTTGTCTGCCTAAAATCTCCAACTGAATCTATTCTGGCTGTTGTTGCTTTTCTTGAAGGTTACAGACCCCTTTTCTGGTCACAGTGTTGGCAGCACCCTCAAGTGCACTGGAGATGGAGGTGTTACATGTTCATTCCTCGTGACTTGCTCAGTTGCAGCAAACTGCATTTGTCTGTTTGGTCCTCCCCCCACTCTGAGTGGCCTAAGGAAGCCCTGTATAGAGGTCTTCCATGTAGGCAACCCTGCCCATCTCCTGTGATGTTGCCAAAATCATCCTGCTAAGAAGATTTGACTTGTGGGGGGTGGGGGTATGCTAGATACACCCCAAGCTCCTCTCTGTTCGATTCCCATTTGAGCAATCTATCCTCACAAAACTAAAGAAAATTATCATACTAGTAATATTGCTATTAGCATCTATTATTCCTTCTTTTTAAAAAAGTCTTTTAATGTTTTCAGCTAAACTGTTACCTCAGTCCCCACTACAGTTTTAGCATATGAGCTCTTTCTGTCTTTAAGGCAAACACTGCTGCATTTGTTTTAAAATTAAGTTCCCCATCTGTTCTGCACCAGCCCTGCTCTGTGTGTATCCAGTGCCCTCTCAGAGGAGCTCATGTGAGGTTTTTGGGTATTGCCCTCACAGAAATAAATTACATGATCCCCTTGGACAATGTGACAAAGTCCACACTGTCCTTTGGAGCTGATGTAGTTAAAATCAAAACGAACCTTTGGGGACATCTAGGAATCAGTGTCTCAGGTTTGTGAAGAACTGCTTGGAAAGCTGAAAACCAGCATCTCTAATTTGTGGGCAGCTGGGTGAGAGCACATGAGAACTGAAATATGGCCGAAGTTTCACAGCAACTGATTTTTGACTACGTGGATGCCCCGGCTCAGAGTGGGAAGTGTTCTTCTCCCTTATCTCAGGAGCCACGTGTGTGCCAGGAGACCTTTGAATGTTTGGAGTAATAAAGTTCAGCGGGGATAAAAGGTCATGTCCCCTCTGGTTTGATTCACATAGTATTGTGCTTTCTCTCTCTTGCAGCTGCGTAAATGAGTATGGAAGATTATGATTTCCTCTTCAAAATTGTTTTAATTGGCAACGCTGGTGTGGGGAAGACCTGCCTAGTCCGTCGCTTCACTCAGGTAAGTAAAGTTGGCTACCTCTTGGATGTGAGACTTTGAGATGGGGGATAGGGACAGCACTGGAATGGAGCATGGAGCCTGTGACTGTACGCTAAGGGCTCTTCCAGCATTACAGCTCCAAAGTATTTTGGTTTTCACACTCTTGGTGCAGGTATCACCTATAGTGACACAAGCAGCATATCTTTATCTAATGCTGCACTTGGCCCTGTTCTGGATTTTGCATTGGAGAAAGCTCATTCCTCTGTGAAGGTGGAAATTCCCCTCTGAAAGCCACTGGGATAACTCCTTTTTTGGTGGTGGTCTGGGCTGGTTATAAGGATCAGCACATCTCCTGGTCTCTTTCCCATCTTTTGCTGCACAAAGCTCTCCCTGTTATTTGTTATTAGTAGATAAATAATCTGGGTCCTGAGCTGTCAGTCCAATGTCTTCTGGACCTTTTTTTGTGGCAGAATAACAGGGAAAGGACCATGCTTCTGTGATCTGGGGCAAGAGAAGGCTTTGCATGATGCTCTTGAAACATTGTGGAGTTTTGGTTGCACTCTTGACTAGATATTGTCAGCAATTTTCTTCTTCACTGTTAATTTCGGTTTTAAAGCCATGATGATGTTAGAAAGTCTCCAAAAACATGTGACAGCCAGTGGTAATAAACGTAGTCAACCCCAAAAGGTTAACAGCAAGAATGTCTGGCCACTTCTGCTAAAGCTGCTGTAGGGAAGGGATGTGCCACAAAATCAACATGACTTGGTAGACCAGAAATCAAAAAGCTATTGGTTTGTTTTTGTTTGTTGTTGCTCCTTTCTGACTGTGCTGCAATTAAATACCACAAGCATCAGTCTGTCCCTTGCCATTGTTGTGGCACCAGTGATGGCTGGCTCTGTGCTTCACTTCTGAAGTGCTGTGCAGAAATGTGACCCCATTGCTGAGAGCTGCCAGAAATGCCTATCCTTGCCATGGGGTGTGGTGGTGGGAAAAGGAAAGGCACAAGGCTGCAGAAGCAAAAGGTATTGTCCAAGCCCACGCAGATGCTCACACCTCTTTCAATGCATTGGGAAGTACAATGGAAAGTCCTCACCCTTCCCCTGCCTCTTCCAACTGCACAGAAGTAGAAGGGCTTTCCCCCTCTCTTTTTTCCCTATATGTATCCTCCTTTTCTTTTCCTGTTTCCCTACCTCTGAACTCAATGACTTGCTACACAACTAGAGATGCATACACAGAGAGAAAACAGTAGGGTTGAATTATGGCAGCCTTCGTGCTGGGGAAATGTCACACTCTAAATGTGACAGAAATAAGTGTCCAGGGAAGGGGACAAGGGATGAATAGTTTTGAAGATGAAACAGAGAGGATTAGTACTCAGTGAGAGTTTTGTCTAGCTACAGGTATATGCTTAATAAAACTCTTGTTTTCTTCCAGGGGCTTTTCCCACCAGGGCAAGGAGCCACGATTGGGGTTGACTTTATGATTAAAACTGTGGAGATAAACGGTGAAAAAGTAAAGGTAGGAGCCTTGGTGATTTTAAGTGTAAGTTCATGTCTCAGTACCATAGCTGAGGTTTCTTGCTGCAGCCCTCCCACTGCTGGGAGGCACTTGGCAAAGTGCAGGGCTGTCTGGCATGGCTTGGGCAATGCAGGGTCTAAAAATCTGTATGCTCCTCTCCACAATTACCATCAGGATTGCAACAGATTCCCCTACTGCAAGGGAGGAAATGGAACAGGGAGATTTCACAAAACTCTGTTCTTGCTTAGGAGATGGTAGGATTCTGCCTGGCTGGGGTTGAGGAAGCACAAAGAAGTGTTTCAGTGCAGCCTTGTCTCACAGTGTTTCTGGTAAGCAGAAATCTATTGTACTCCCTGGGATGTGCTTGATGAAAGTCTTCTCCTGTGAGCTCCCAAGACAGCCATTGGGTAGAGCAGGCTTCTGGACTTGTTGAGTTCTGCACAACAAAGGCTCATCTTCCACTTCTACCAAGTTGCAGATTTGGGAGAAGCAGAGATAACCACAGTAGTAGTGTTTGAGCCAACAGATTTAACTGCAAAGGGCACAGGTCTCCATATTATTAAGTCTTTCACCCTCTAAAACAGGGTGATTGCAACCAAACCACTGCTGGGAAACTGTCCTTGTTCTATGCTAACTCCCAAACTGAGCCTGAGCATCACTTGGCAGAGACCTACTTTACCTGGGCCAAGGTAGACTGGGGACCAATCTCATGCTTTAATGGGATCCATGGTTGGGTTCCAGAGCCCAGAGATGTTGGCTGGCGCCACTTTGTTCATTAGTAGAAGTTTCACTACAGCTACTCTGGTGTCTAAGTGAGGAGAGAAGAGTATGGTTATCTGAGCCTCTAATGTCAAGATGTTCAGGGTCCCTGAGCCGCTCCTGGATTTATTCTGCCAGCATGAAATTCAGGGGTGCATGAAATTCCAGTGGTGGGATGGAAACAGTGGATTTGGGCAGACTTTCAGCCCTGGGCTTTTTTTAATCTGTATTTCACCACAGAGGTTTTTTAGAAAAACATTGTGTGGTGTGTTCCAAAGTTCAGGACAGATTTTAAAAGCCGTGATCATGTCAGCAGCCTACCACCCTGCTGCATGAGGAGCTGTGCAAACCAATGGCAAGTGATGGTACTTGATCAGGAGACCTTCCTGCCTGAGCAGGTGAAGGACAAGGTATAAATACCTTCACCTGCTAAAGACTGAGTTAATATTCAGCACATGGCTGTGCAAGCAGGACAGAGCAGCAGGCAGAGAGGCAGAGCGGATTACGTGTAGCCCCTGTGGTGTTAGTGCTCAGCCCAGTGGTTTCAGTGCTCATTAGTGGGCAGTAGCAACATTGGCCAGGACACAGATGCTGTTTGTCCAAGCTCCTCAGACTGCAGAGATGATTCTTTCAGCCAAAATCAGCCCCAGTGAAGCAGCCCAGAGGATCTGAGCTGGTAAATGGCTTAATCACTGCACTGGAGATGGAATTCATTTTTTGCCATTATATATCTGGCTTAAACCAGAAGTCTCAAGATTGTCCTGGTCGCTGGAGGGAGAAGAACAATCCTGGGGAAGATGAATCGCATCCACCTCATACACCTCTGCTTTTCTAGCATCTGGTTCTCTGTCAAGTACTGATGGAGCCTTAAGAACATCACTTACATCTGAAGCCTGGCTTTTGTATAGATGAACTCACCCTAAGGATTTGTCTGTTTCACTTGTTGCTCCTGTGATACAATCCTGTTTTAAGACTAACTTGGGCTGACGGTGCAAACTCCTTAAGTGAATGTTGGGAGCAGTCATGCCAGCATGGGCTATCTCAGGGCAAGGATGGTTATGGGGTGCTCTACAAGCTAAATGAGAAGTCCCTGCTGCTCTGCAAATGTGTGATGAATGCACAAGTGTCCCTCCAAGCAACTACCTGAATCACCCTGAGGCAGGATTGTGTGTCACAGAGCCTTAGTAAGTGGTAGCTGACATACCAGCTGTATTTCACATAGCAAATGAGTTCTTAAAGTCCCTCTCCTGACACCACCAATGCAGTAGATTGGACTTGCTGGAGTTCAGCCTCAGTGACTAAGCTTTGGAGGGCTAAGCTTTAGTACGATATTTGGATATTTGAATGAGCCTTCTGGAGTCTGAAAGGCAAGCAGATCTCTTTCAGAGGGTGATATTGTAGCTGAAACTTTTTGAGTAAGCAGTGGTTGTGAGGATAAACATTTAATGAGCAGGAAAAGCAGGAATGAGCAAAGAGCAATAAAAATGACATCTTGGTCAAACAAGACACTGCTCTGACTGTTAGATCATTTAGCAGTGCCTGAACCATGACTCTGCCTCTGTACTGGGCAGCCTTTCCTGCACATCTGCTGGGATCCAGAGCTGTTTACCAAAAAGTTTTTAGTCTTGAAAATAGAATAGAGATTTCTGGGGGAAAGTACTTTTCAACTTTCAAAACTGTCATTAGAAAGTCAGTGAAGAGGGACTTGCTGGTATGAAAGCTGTATGCAAACTCTTTCAGATATGAGCAGCTACTAGAGCTCACTGGCCAATAAGCTGAGAGAGCACTGTGCAGTTGAGGGGGATTTTTATCTGGCTTTTTCTAATAAACCCCAAAATTATGTGCAACACTGGTGCCAAGAGGGTCCACAAATTTGAACCAGCAGTTACTGTGCTGGTCAGAGCTAAGCATCATTAGTGCTACATAGACCTGTGCCTCATTATACTTGGTGGAAAGCTAAGTGTGTGTGCAAACATTGGGAGAGCGGGAAGCTCCAAGAAAATAAACGTCTAGATTTTCCACAGGCTGAATCAGACACAGTCCTTTGGTTATTTTGAAAACAAAACAAAACAAGTAAAATGGTTGCTATGAAATATTTTATTTGGCAGAAATAACCAATGAGGGGAAGTGTGAGATGTGCATTTTGTGTGCGGGAAGAGTTTTTCAGTGGCTGTAAGATCAGGGGCACCCAGCTCAGAGAGAGACTCATAACTGCAGCCAGTGAGAAACCCTCTCCCCAGCACAATCCCCTTCTGTTTTCAATGTCTGTTAGATTAAAGCAGTGGAAGAACATATGCACAGCAAGTTTTTATGTTCTCAATAAATGCAGAACCTATATAAGCTGGAGTTAACCAGTGGACAGTCAGTAAATGTTTTTCCTGGGTAACAGCTGAGGAAGAACAGAATTATCTGTATCTTTCCATATGCCAGAGTTTGGAGGCTGGTTTGTTTTAACGAGGACTCATTCATTATCTGATTTTCACGTTCAAGTGATTTCATTTATGGTTTTGTGTATCACTTTACAGGTGCCAGGTTCAGCCATTTAAATACAACTATGCCAAGAGATTAAAGCACAAAGGTGCCCAGGGGCTGTGAGCCAGCCACAAATTACTTTCTCTGCAAAAAATGTATTTTTTTCAAAATCATACCCCATGCCTGAAAGCTGCTACTGGGAGCTCTCATTTCAAACTAACATATTTATGATGAGTGGCTGATGTAGCTTGACTTTGGAACTGGGCAAGAATAAGATTTTCTCTGTTACAGGCTGCTGAATATATGGAAAAACTCTGAAACACCTTTTTCTTCCCAAAGTACACAGGATTTTGGCTGGAAATCATCCTTTCACATATTTGCTTCCAGTAAGAGGTGCTTTAAAAAAAGAAAAGCTGAAAAGAAATACTCTTTTATCTTGAAATGTGTTAATTTTGAATGTTTGTTCTTAGACTTCCTTTTTGAAGGATTGAGGTTTTGATGGCCCACCAAAAACTATCAGATGGTCAAAATATAAAACCAGTATAAGTTTAGTTTATATGGGGAAATGTACGTTGTCTTCCTGGATCCAGAGGGTTTGGCAAACACTCATGACTTCTTTGATGGTGGTGAGACATGGCAATAGGCTGTCCAGAGAAGTCATGGATGCCTGACCCCTGGAAGTGTTCAAGGCCAGGTTGGATGGGGCTTTGAGCAACCTGGTCTAGTGGAAGGTGTCCCTGCCCATGGCAGGGGGGTTGGAACTAGGTTTTTAAGGTGCTTTCAAACCCAAAGCGTTCTGTGGTTCTGTGATATAGTTAAGGCCATGTCAACCAACTCTACATGTTAGGAAAGCAAACTATGAGATGGCTGAAGTTGTAGAGAGGAAGTACATTAGAATCCCTAGATCAGCCTTCAGAGCCTTCAGCTGAGCTCCTTGTTCGTTCCTTTGCTTTCCACTCATCAGTGCATCATCTCAGAGTAACTATAACTAGCTTTGGGAGCTAGAGGAGAGGCATTCTTATTTGTTCTTGGGAATGGTTGCTGCTGTTGTTGAACTTCAGGAACAGGAGAAGTGACTCTCCCTCGAGCACTTGCTTTGTAACTCCAGGCCAGCAGCTCTGTCCACAGTAAAGGGAGATGATGGAAGTCACATGAAAGCGCTGAGACCTGCAGCTTCCAGGGGCCATTAGCCGCAGTGCCAGCTGACTTTGTGCCTTGCATTTCAATCCACAAGTGCAAGAATCGAAACAAATAGTACTGGGGGAAGGGAAGCCAAAGGGAGAAAAGCTAAGTGCTTTCCTAGCATTGCTTTACCCTGGAGGGTCTTTTTTTCTTAGGTCAAAACAGTACTGCCATCAAATAAAAACGTTAAATAACTTTTTTTTCCTTTTACCACCCTTCCTTGTTACGTCAAAAGCTGCAGATCTGGGACACAGCAGGACAGGAGCGATTCCGATCCATCACGCAGAGTTACTATCGCAGTGCTAACGCGTTGATCTTGACCTACGACATCACCTGTGAGGAATCCTTCCGGTGCCTCCCCGAGTGGCTGCGGGAAATTGAGCAGTATGCCAGCAATAAGGTCATAACTGTGCTAGTGGGTAAGTGACAATCATCCCTCACGGGGTGCTGTGACAGGGGGTAAGCTGGGCAGATGGAGGTGTTAGCAGGAGGAAAACATGACATCTGTGCGAACTGCTGGTGCAGGATGCTTGAACTGGTCCGGTGGATCTTGTTGCCAACCAGTTGTAACTGTAGGTGGGCACAGGGTCCAGCTGGTGCCTTAAACCCAGTGCTTGAACCATTCCTTGTGCAAATAACCCCAAGACAATGATAGTGGTGTTCACGGTGCTATGACCACCTTTGAAGTGTGGTCCTGTTTCAGGCCTAAGGCTATTGCATGCGTGGTCCCATAAAGGACCATGGAATGGGGCAGCTACCAACTGAGCTAAGAATAGAGAAGTTCTCCTTCTGACTTCAAGCTACAAATATGTGAGGATCTGCTCAAGCTATTGATGACTGCAGGTTGCTGTACCACATAGGAGTGGGACAAGCAGTCTTGTCTTAAATGGTCAGGATCTGGGAACCACATCAGGATGGGATGGTTTTGTGCGTTGTAGCATTCATAGGTGGGGCAGAGCTGGAAAACTGGATAATTTTGCATGGATTTTAGGGAAACTAAAAATAAATAACTGAATGTTATATTAATCTGTAGAGCTTCAACTCAAGACAAAACAGACCTCAGGCCATCTGTCTGCTATAAGCAAGGGGAAGGTTATTTTGCCTACCCATGCTTTTCCATACTCTGCTTTCAGCATTTGATAGTCTGGATTTGGCTTTTAAGAGTCCAAGAATATATAAAGAACAATGGAAAAATAACTTGGGGAAAGCCAAAAAGTTTCATGCTGCAGTGTTGATATCACTTTTAATAGTTTGTTGTCTAAACGAAGAAGTCTAGGTAATTGTAAAGACTGTTTAATGTGTATTTGAAAAAAACCAATTCTTTTGAGTTTTACATGCCTCAGTGGTATTTCAAGTGAGCTGTGGGGTTCATAGAGCTTCCATACAAGAAACTCCTACTCCTTGAGTATGGCCTGGGTACAAATGGGCAGAAATAATTATTACATGACTAACAAATGTACACATTAATTTTTTAGTGAACATTAAGTTAATTGCCAGCATCTACAGTGCAACATATAAAACATATTTTAGTCATAATTCACATGTTGAAGATGGTGACACCCATAAATCACTTGTGTTGGATGGTAATCTGTTTAGAAAGGTAACTTCATTGAATGTAGTGGGTCCAAGAAACTGCATTCTTGGGAAAGAAGGCGATCTCAAATGAGAGGAGGGCAACGAGACAAGGCTTGCTAGTGGAAACACCATCTTTTCCTCCCACTAGTTCTCACAAAATTGTTGGTAGGAGTGAGGCCAGGAGATGTTTCCTCCTGAACCTACTGAGTCTGTGGACACAGCTGCCTGTTATTGCAGGTCCTGGTCTTTTATCTTTGTTGTAAGATTAATTTATGGCAGAAACATCATGTTTGAAGTGAAGTGACCAGTAATAGTGTATAATCATATCAGATACTTGCTTGAGGCTGTAATCAACTCTCTGCTCAACTGATCTCTCTGAAGCAGAGGGTTGGTTTCTCACCTCACCTCACTCTGTAAGTGCCCCCCAGTCCTGTCCCTCTTCCAGCCTCCATAGCCAAATCCTATATGGGAATATTGAAATAGGAAAGCTGTCTTCCATGCCAGGCTTTTTTTTAAAGCTTATAACATGATAAATATCACATTTAGTGTCTCATATGCTATAATTGACATTTTAAGTGCTCCCCAGAGCAAGGATAGGAGAATTTTCAATAGATATTAAAATGGAAATCCTTTAATGTTAGTTGATAGCAGCAAACAGATGCACTGGTGCTAAATTAGAGCTAACTGATTTGAATGTTCACAAGGCATATTTTATTAAATGCCCTGATATTAAATGAACTTGAGTGTATTGGGGAATCTGTTATTTGGAGGGGAGAGCAAGCGCTAAGAGTTACATATCAAAACCACTTTACACACAACTACAAACTCTTGTTTATTCCTTTTAAACCTCAGTTTGTCTTGGTTTTGAAGTCAAACTAATTCCTTTTCTAAAATATTTTATCAATACAGGTAATAAGATTGATTTAGCTGATAAGAGGGAAGTCTCCCAGCAAAGAGCTGCAGAGTTTTCCGAAGCACAGGACATGTACTATCTGGAAACGTCAGCAAAAGAATCGGATAATGTGGAAAAACTCTTCCTGGACTTGGCCTGCCGGTTGATCAGCGAGGCACGACAGAACACCCTTGTGAACAATGTCTCATCCCCCCTACCAGGAGAGGGGAAAAGTATCAGCTACTTGACTTGCTGTAATTTTAATTAAAGAGCTGACATGTGGGCCATGGGCCAAGAGGATTTTTTTTTTTTTTGGTGGGATTTATCTGCTTGAAAGAATTCCTGCCAATCTGACCCATGTGACTTACCCTGAGTCAGGTTGCAGTCCTGGAAACATGGCAGACTGATGGCTCCAACTACATGGCAAGGTAGCAGGGTTTAAATTTCATTTTTCTCAAAGTCTGTGGAGCAGGTCAGGAAAGGAGGAGTTGCACAAGTCCTTCATGTAATGCAGAACATGAGCTGTTTTGTTTCCTTCTATGGGAGAGTAGACCAGCCTCTCTTGAAGATATTGAAAAGATCAAAATCTGTCTTACAGAACAATGTGTTTGATCGTTTTTAAAGTTAAAAAAAAAAATAAGAAAAACCCCAACAATGAATGCTGACTTTGGACTACGCTGGTAATCTTCCTGTCAGTGAGTGAGCTCTTAGGACATGTACATAACGTCTGCCCACCTGTCTTCATGGAGGACTCTGGTGTTTGAAATAGTGTTATGTGTCTCATCTACAGGCACTTTCATGAACGTGGGGAAAAAAAAAAGTTACGTATATCAACGTTTTCAAGACTGAAGAAGACATGGATACAGCTCAGTTGCTCCCTTTGGTGCTAGCAGTTCAGCAGATATTCCATAGACCAAACATAGTCTTACTACATTACTATTCTCTGAATGTGTAACTTAGACTGGTTAAGAAAAAAACACTAATAAGCACTGTTCATAAAAATAAAAAAATCTCATTACCTCTTTTTCTAGGCCTGAACATAGTGGGAAAGGACTGTGCTTTTCTTTGACATCCAGTGTAGGATGACAAGAGTTTCCAGAAATAAAAATAAATAAATAAACAAACCATTAGTCATGTCCTACTGTAAAAAATTAACCTTAGGAAAGATTGTTGGTGAACTTGGAAAAAGTGTACCAGACATGACCAAAGTCTTGTGCACAAATGGATCGTGTATAAGGGTTCAAAGAAAGCACAGTTTGAAGTGATGGTCTGCAATATGTCCATCTTAAAAATAAAGCTTGTAGATACAGTTCTTGTTGAAAGGCAAGAGTACAATTTTGTAGAGGTTTTTTGTTTGTTTGTTTGTTTTTAATGCTAAGTGGAAATAGCAGTGGGTTGCAAGTGGTATCATTCCATGTCTAACTCATCCAGCTCTTACCTTGTGGAACTGCTCTCAAAGATGCTCTTGAAGGTATCTTCTTGGCATCCAGTCTCTCTACTAGAATAGCTTTCAGGTTCAGGGATGTGGAATAATTTTATTTCCTTGATGCTTTGTGCTCTTACTCCCAAACTCCAGTGTACATGTAACTGTTTAGGCAATTTCTTCTTACAAAATACCTGAAGTCAAAGCACTATGGAGTTTGTGGTGTTATTCCACCTCTACTGCCATACAATGCATCACAAATTTACAAGTTGCATTAAAGTGCAAAATCAAAAGATGGTGAATGTGCACATAATTATATTTAGAAGTTTGACTTCAGTTTAGCTAATTGGGGTAAATATCTTCTGGCAATTACATGGCTGTCATATGCTACAGTTTAGAGTTACTGAATTTAATATTATTTGGCTTTTACTGAAGATTATAACAGGGCTTCTGTATTGACATAAAAAGCTGCCAGTAAGTACTTCTTGAAAAAAACAACAACAATGACAACAAAAGGCATTTTAAAATGCGCTTTTTTTGTTTCCTGGAAAGGCTTCTTTGGGCTTTATCATGTTGTGCCTTTGATACATAATGGGGAGTTGACTCTGGGGGGGAAATTGATGTGTCATATGGCCATTTTTAATATTTTCTTGCTATTTTTAGGCCACTTTTATGACTAGTGGTAAAAAGGAAGATGTACAAGTTGTGGCATGAAGCTTGTTTGTCATTTAGGTAACACTTAGCCAAGATCTTCTGTAAGTGTGAGGAGATGGGGAACACATCATCTGCTGCTCTGGCCTGGTCCTTTTCAGTCTCTGCTCATGCTGTAATCTGGAACATTTAGAAATGTGTGGGATTTGGTGGCTTCTGCTGTGTTGGACCCTGTGATACAGCCTGTGCTGAAAGATAATGTGTTCTTGAGCATTCCCCAAATTGCCAAATGCAACCTTGTTTGGACTTGTGAAGAGCGCCCAACTCAGAGACAGCTGCTTCTGCACAGTTGTTAGGTAGTTCCTTATAGCAAGGCTGAAGGTTCTGTGTCAAGTAACACTCAAGTTAAAAATCAATACTATGTGCATTTAATTTGTAGTTGTTCTTGCTCCCCTGATGCTGGACCTATCAGCATGTAATTGATAACAAATGGGACAGGGCTCTTTGATCAAGTTAATCAAGGAGGAAGGACACTGCTCACTAAAACACCCATGGGTTTCTCAGCCTGATTTCCAAAAGCATCAAAAATGGGCAGGTACTCTTCATCCCTACTGAGTACCATTATAAATGCATTTTAAAGTGCTCCTTGCATCACTTCTGGAGGTGGAATTCTAATGCATTAACATGACTGAACAAGCTGAACTGTTCAAATAGCAGAAACTGCTAACTTTATTTTCTTGGATATTTATTTTGAGGTTTCTAGAAGCCTAAATCTCTTTTTCTAGTGCTTTCCTAATCTGTAGGTGACTATTTGGAGACTAGCCTACTACCAACCTCAAAGCATTGTTTCTTTTTATTGCTAGCAAATCTTCACGTAAGGACTCGATCTTCAAACAGTGATGTTCTTTTGGGGCGGGGTGGAGTGCTGCAGTTGGCCTAATGTTCTCCAGTCAAATTTGAGCTGATTCCTTTCAATGTTTATTCTGTGTATACTTAAAAACTTGAAAGGAAACAGTGGTGGTATGTGCAACATTTGACAAGGTCATAAGCCAAAACTGTAGTTTGAGACTCACCTCTTTTTCTGACTTTTGCAAACACACCTCTTGTTGAAGAAGTGGTATTTTATTGTAGTAACTCCTTTGCTGGAGTTACTTTTGTACACCTTTGAGTATCTCTTGAGTGCATACAATCCACCTTTCCTTGTAGCACTGAGGGCTTATCTTCTCTTCTACAGTCTGATCCACTGCTGAAGGCTTCCCAACTAGAAGAGGAGCTTTATTGGCTGCTAATGACAACTTAGTGTTGTGGCATAGTGATCAAAGTCTTGAAAAATAAAAGAACATAAAATAAATACAAATCCCAATTATGCGATAATCAGCTCACCAACTAAACAACTTGCTGGATTTGTGAGAGAACTGTCAGTAAAAGCCTTGTGATGCTTGCTGGATCAAGCGTCCAAAAGTCATGCAGAATTGATATAATGGGTCCAAATTTGACTGGGCATGTTCTCTACTATCAAGAGAGTCAAGCATTACTTTTATTGTCATTGCTGGATTTTAGTGTATTTTCAGAGCAATATATTCACAGCCATGAAGTAATCTTATTTCTGGGTGAATTTTAATTTTTATAGTAGTCTTATGACAAGACCCTTTCTTGACATTTTTTAGCACAACGATTATCTCCAAGCAGAAGCCAATATTGGATGGTCAACAGGTATTTGCTTAGTCTAGCAAGCCTGTTTGCAGAGATTGGTAGAAACATCTCTGAAACCTGGATGGTCTAAACTCTGATTTCCAGTGCAGCCACTGATTCAGTCAAGCTGATCTAAAGTAAACCAGCAAACATTCTGTGCTTCAGGTCATTGGATATTTACAGTAAAGTTTGCTAAGACAAGCCATGACTCCCTTCTATTCCTATTTGTGTTTCCTATGAAAGTGATAGGGGAAAAAAAAAGCCCTTTGGGTCAAAGAGATAAGATGGAAAAAGTGAAATTATGAACTGTGTAAAGAAGGGGAACGCTGGGTGCCTCCTCCTACCTCAAACACTGAAGTCTTGATTTGACCTAGAGATAAGCTGTTTGAGCATGCAGTTCAGATATGTGTTTGTGCTGAATGCTAAATGGCTTTGTGATCATTATTTAATGAAAACCACAGATGACAAATTTTCGGGTGAGATACTTTGTTCTTTGCTGTGGAACACATGAAACAGCCCTTAAAATCTGTCAGCCTGCTGGTGCTGTTTGTCTTTTTTTGAAATGGCTGAATTGGTAACAGTTGGCTCCTTCTAGTCTAGGTTCTGCAGTTAATGGCTATTGAATTCCTTCAGCATCAGTAATAACAGCAGCAGACTGATGTTGACACAGGAGACAGTGATTTGAAAAGAAAGAAAGTAGAAATTAGTGATGCAGAAGCACGGTAGGTGCACACATGTGGGACAACAGGCTTTCCTGAGCTTTTGCTGACAAGGGATGCAATTAGTTATAGTAAAACCCACTGGGTTTTGCCTTGTTCATTATCCCTAAGGACTGCTGTTTGTCCAGCTGCTTTTCCACTTGTCTTCTCTTTTCAGTATGAAGAACTGTCTATAAAACAGGCTGAAATGTTGAACTGGCATGATTCCTGCAGTCAGCGACTGAATTCAGTTGGAAAATAGGTGAAATTCTCCAGCTGTTAAAAAAGGCTGAGCAAACATGCAGGATAGGCTGCCCTTTGGGGACCTGTGGTGCTATTGGGGTTGGATATGGCTGGAAACACTGTCACAGAAACCCTTTCCTGGCTGTGGGGCAGAACAAGTGCTACAGCCCATTGCGCAAGGGGAAGATGACTCTGTGGAGCAACAAATGCAAAGTAAAGAGATGATTCTGCTTGCTCAGGATTTTCTCCATCCCCTCCACTTTTAAAATTGCATCCAGGGATTAGATTTTGATTGGACTTTCATTAGGGATGCTCTGAAATTGAGTATAATCTGAAATTCTGCATTCTTTTACTTTTAATGTTAAAGCACCCAATATCCTTATGTGGATGGCTCCTACCAACAAAGTTCTTTTTGAGTTAATTCAGTTAGAAAAAGGTGTTTCTAGAGGAAACTTTGTGAATTCCCAGTGAGCAAGTATGGAAACTCTCTGTCCTTAAATGTCTCTGTATGTAAGGGCTCACCAGAAAACCCTGAGGAGACAAAGGAAATACTCTAATCAGTTCTGGTAGTGAAAACCGCATGAAACATGTTACATCAAAATGTTTTCTTCCTCTGTTTATAAACTTTATTTTTTATCTGAACAAATTTGGACTTTGAAATCACCCTTTTTCCTTGCATCAAGTCTGTTCTGTTTTTGCTGTGGCTAATAATTGTTGTAGTTACTGTTCACAAGCAGCAAAGGATCACTATGATGAGTGGTGGGGAAACACCAGCTTGATCTCTTACAAGAAAGTAGTGCATCCTAAGCAAAGCAGCCTAAACTACAGCTGGTCATGTCTTTGAAATGCAATCATCCACTTGAGTTGTAGTTAAATGTACCATAAATGTTACTCATCTCACATCTGCCTCAGTTTAGGATTTATCTTGGCTAGGAAAGACAACAGGGTAATCATGCTGACCGTGATGCAAGGCTCCCAAAGCTCACTGCCTTGCTCTGACTTACCTCGCTAATCACCACCTTCTCTACTGACCCAAAGTCGCCTTTGCTGTACTGTACTGTATCCAGCTGGGGTAGATCACTGGCTGTCATCACTCATGGATGCCATTACACCCTTTCCCCTCATGTGAACGAGCTGTAACTTAAACCAGAAGTAAAAACTATGCTGTGTGAGTTGAGGATCTTTGTTTCTTTCCAAGTGGGAGACACACATCCAGAAAGAAAGCCTAATCTCTAAAGCTTGCTCCTCCAAATACGGTCAAAAGGTAACTGGGGAAAGATAACCCAGATACAGCAGAAATGAGATGGCAATGAGTAATTTAGGCTGTAAATGTTGTCAGTGAAACATTAGACTGGTTTTAAGAGCATAGTCAGGGTTAACAGCTCAGTTTCTCTGTCTGGATAAACAGGAGCTGGCT